ATCGAGCAGCCGCCTATGGTGCATGCGTGGCTCGACCAAATGTCAATTATTTATTGACTAGTGTCATTGCTATTGGCATATCTAACCTAGCCGTCACCTAGCTCCCTGCTTTGCTCACCTCCTCACCTTCTCCACCCCGAGAAAGAATCAAATGTCGGGATACGGTCAACTGCTCGGTTTTTCTTAGCATCAATCTTGGACATACTAGGACACCTCTTTAGATCTTTAAAATGTCGGTAGAATCATTACACTCCCTAATCAACAACATTCCTGACTGGATCAAACGCCTCGACGAGCTAAATGGACAAATCGAGCAACGCCAGCAGGATCTGGCATTGTTGCCGGAGAACCGGCCGCGTTCTTCCGCAAAGTCCATAAGGAACAAGGGCTCGACGGAATCGCTGAAGCCAAATGATGATGGCGCCGCCCATCCACCGGACATAGCCTGCATCTCGACACCGCCTCCGCCGACACGAAACAATACTCAACAGCAAGATGGGACCGAGCTGCCCTCAAGTCCTGTAAGCGAACCAAAGTCGAAGCTTTTGCTTCAGCGTCAGGAAGTAATGGCAACCGCACAGCGACGAGCGCGCGCAACACTTCGCAAGCGCCAAAAGACGGATTCTATGATCAGCAATGAGAACACCGTCCAGAAATACAGATCACGGAATATGATTATCGTCTACTATGACAGTTATGTCCAATCTTTCTTCGAAGAATTGGTCAAGTTCGTGTCGATGCAACGGAACTCTATGCGTAAGGCCAAGATGGCTGCCAAGGTGGCCCGTATTAGGCGTATGGCCGAACTTGAGATGCCCGACGACGAGGACGACGAGGATGAAGGGTGTGGAAACGAGTTGAAGCCTAGGGATAGCCTCATCGCCGCCCAAGTCGCGGTCCCGAATTCCCAAAATGATGAGCCAGAAGAACCCAAGCTCCGCTTTGTCAGTACTCGGGCAATGGGGTCACGGAACCTAGCTGCACGAAACATAGCAGCCGGCAGGATGAACTTGCGGACATCTAGGCTCACTAGCGGACTAGGCTCATTTCAAGACAAGGGCGATATATGGGAAGAGTTGGACAAAGGCCTCGAATACGTCCAGGGTATGTGTGAACACGGTGCACATCAGTTCCTTCGGGATGGGGACTGCAGCGATGAAGTCGAGAAGATCAAGGCGCGCCTTGTGCAGACAAAGGAAACTGCGGACAAGGAATTGGCGCGCTTAGCCGAGAATCCCGACGAGTCGTCCGAGCCTATTAAGTCACGAAGCTTCCGCCCAATGACAATGCGAAGGGGTGCGTCTACTTCTAAGAGCCCGTCCAAGCAGGACCCTAAGAGCCCCTCCAGGAAGGACGTAATAGAAGTTGAAGATGAAGGTGTTCAGGACATGGACGATTTCCAGCCTGCCTCCGAGGCAACGAAGCAGGTAAATGGAACTACGTCTTAGGCTGACGAGGTTGCCTTCCTATACCATGCATCTTACTCATCATCGTTATCAATCTTATCTACCAACCTCCGTTACCTAACTTCGGTATACGCCCGTATACGTACTACATATTACCCGTAGAATTTCATTTGCTCGCATATAACATCGCGACGGAGTTGGCTTACACAGAGAATGACGACCTGATTAGGCACCATTGCGACAGGACCGTATTGCAATCCAAATTCAGATATGACGGCTTAAAACATCAAACTCATTTTGGTCTTTTCTCGACTTGGAGTCTAGGCAAAGAAAAGCACACATCAGCACACTTACGATTTTGACTCGTGCTTGGCGTTAGGTTAAGGGGAATGTCATTGACATTTGATATCACAGTCCAATGGGATCTGGATACAGTGTGGAAACAAAAGGTGCTTGCACCTGTCACGACTTTATGGGAATCACGGCCGAGAAATAACAATGATTGTACATACGTGGCTATATATCAATATGCTACCTGAGCTTCCCCTAAAGCAGGGGGTTCGCATAATGTTGGATCTATCGCTATTTATTGCCCCCCTCCCGACTTTGAGGGGAGAAAAAGCTATTTAGTAACTGACTTGCCGATGCTAACATAGTGGGCCGAATATCCTTACGAGCGGCCACAAATAATCTAATAATATATCTACCTGCTTACCTAGGTACATAATTCTGTATGGTGCATCGTTCGTTGACAGCCCTATGAGTATAGATCCAGCCTTACCCCCAGAACTCCGAAATGCATAACCGATGCACGAAGGGGGTAGGGGAGGGTAGGAGGAACAGTTGGCGGCAGGAGTTCATCACCAATCCCTGCCTTCTGTGCGACGCAGCGCCGATGTACAAGATTCATGCATAAGATTAGAATAGAGAAGAACCAACAGTAGTTTCTTCATCACACGCTTGTCCGAGAAAAGGGCGAAAGCCACCAGTCATGTATAATACCGATTCGGTCCGTTTGTTTACTGACCGAGCGTCGGCTACGGAAGACTCGACGGCAGGGAAGAGGGAGGTTGGGTACAACCCACCCACGGTCTATCCCGTCGCAGGGAGGCGAAGCGAAGCTCGGACAGCGGAATTATGCGCACTTACGTAACCTGGGGTAGGTAACGCTTTCGTAAGTAACGTCGCGTACAGAATTCCAATATGTGTATGGTTCGTGCGAGGCATCGTGTCTCCTCCATAATTTGCTGTTTTTGGGTCGGCGTTGCTTTAGCGTTGCATTCGTTGCGCCCGCGCGCCTCACTTCTCATTTCTTTCCCGCCCAATCCGGGGAAACGGGCTAGGTATGCTAATGGTTCACATGGTTATGCTTTGTTAATTGCCTTGGAGCTAAATATTAAGGGATATCTGTATGGTGAAGGAGAAACAAGAGCAGGTAGGTAGAACGCTAAGAGATACCGTGGATACGTGGATACGTGAATATATCGAATGTAGTTGCCGGGCACGAAAGCCATACCTAACCATGCTAGAACCATTGTATGCCTAGGTACATAAAGTAGGTACTGTATATAAATCTCAAGAGTCATCTTAGTCCATTTCACATGATAGAATAGCTTTCCATCTGGCCCCTTGACTGGTCATGAATGTGGCCTTCACCTCATTGCATTCCAACGAGAAAACCACCTATCGCTGTAGATACCATCCCACATATACTTTACTAACGGAACGCCATAGAAATATAAATACCGCGAAATCCCAGTCCTTGCCAGGCAATGCTTGAATAGGTGTGGTAGGAACTACGTTAGTAGCACGGCAGTGTTCTAGCAATTCGTCTCTTCTCTTAACAGCGTGCGATCCTCACGCAAAGTCGGCTGTTGCAGAAACGACTTGCCGCCTCTCGCGGGCTTTCGAACCGGCCGTACCGCAAATTTCAGGACGTGTCTTCACGTGCTCTAGGAGAACGCCTCCTTCGATACTCGTTAATACCTCGACCGGGAACCCAACCATCTAGTCCGGGCGGCGTGGCAAGCAGGGAGAAGCTCCTTCCTTTACATCCGATTCGCCTCCAGGATGTAAGTAAATATGTAGGTGGCAAAAGTGAGATCTATGTGCGAGAGTTGCGTACCTAAGTTGGGTTCACCTGGGGACGCTATGATGGCATAGTGATTCATGCTAGAGCAGCGAGACCGGTAGCAGTTAGAACTACGCTTGAAAGCCTTGGCTTACGTTTTGATGTGTTCATACGTCCCTAGCGAAACTTTAGACATACTGTGTATTCCCTCCTTTCTATTCTCGCTATATGCTCCCTTGATTGGCCACAGACAGTATTTCAACATGAGACAGCTCATCTGACTCATTCACAGAAGTCCTTCTCATATACTCAAGTACAAGGATGTTACTATTTGCGCTAATTGAGGGAGAAGGCATTGATATTAGCTCTATGCGGATGTGGATGTGAGAGGCGTGAAGGAAGAAGTGTACTCAATATTTGAGGCTCTTGTGTGACCTCAATCACCTATAACAATACACGATCAAATGAATCACTTATTCAATGGTGAATTCGACGCTGGGAGATTTATTGTTGACCAACCTATCTCATGATGTCACTGCTTACGTAGTTTCTTCTCTCCTCCCAGACGCCCTCTCAGTGTCTTCCAAGTCCAAGTAGTCGTGTCGACTCTACGTATGGCCTCCCTTAGCTCTATTTTCAGCGCAGAGGTGTTAAAGACATGCTTTGTTTACGTCATGGAGTCTTCGGTGTTTACAAGAATCCTAAGCGTCAGCCTAGTTTGCTGAGCTCTGTCTTGGGAGGGCAATAACGAAGAGTGAAGAAAGAGCTTTATCAGGGACTACAATAGGCCAACTGTCATGCCTTTTAACCGGTGATATATACCTCTGCTTTTTCACTGCTGTCCAATCCTTACGATTAACCTTTAAGTCTTTCACGTCTGCACTCGAGGTCAAGGCATAATCCTAGGCACAATAACTTGGAGAAAAAATGACTTCGCCCTACGTGAAGTAGCCGAGCCTGAAACTCCATGAGCACTACATCAAATCCTAGTAAGGTCCTCACAGACACCACTGTCCGCGCAATCTAAATATCAGCTACCTCTTCGCGAGAGATCTTCGTTCGTTGAAACCGTCCCGCCAGATTCGGCGCATCAGATAGCTCATAATGCACACTCGATACTAGAGAGCCGATCAGGACCGTCGCCATGCTATGCAACGGGCGAGCGCTGGGCCAGCTTGTGAAGTTCAGGGCAATATGATTTCAGTGTATGTAGTAACTCTATGATATTCCTAGGTTGTTAGTGCTAAAGGAAAGACATAAGAGATGCGTTTGAGGAGAATCAAAGGCAACAATCCGGACAAACGCATTAGTTCATGGCTGATGAATCTATAAGGATATAGGTATGGTAGGAACTTCAACGAGTGTTTGGTCTCCGGGCACTTTGATGAATTTTAGTTACTGATTGTTTTGCTGTTGCTTTTACTGCTATTCCAAAATCTGGCCCACCTCTTTGTGCTTCCAACTTCTTTGCTTAAGTAAGCTAAGTCCTATATGCGCTAATAAAAACCTAGATTTCAACAACAGCGGGGATAGCTCAGTTGGGAGAGCGTCAGACTGAAGTCCACTTCAATCTTGAAATCTGAAGGTCGTGCGTTCGATCCGCACTCACCGCAACAATGAACTTTTGATGTTTCGACGACTTTTCATTTTTTCTTCATAAAAAAATTAATTTTTTTCGCTTTTCCCTTCAAATAGAACCGAACTATCCTACACAAGCTATCGTCGCAGGTGTCACTTCTAATTCCAGATAACCGCGTTTCCTCTTACTTAATATTCCTCCATCCAAAGCTGGAACGTCTTAGAATCATATTATCTTGCCTTCGAGCGTCACGTTTTGCCTGTCACGTCTCATCTCCTCAAGTCCTTTCCCACGTTATTTTCGTTGCCCGTGTTCTTACGTTGAGGATGGTTACCTGCTTTGGGTAGCGCGTATATCGTGCCTGGCCACTTAGACCAACACCCTCCTGCTTCATAAGACGAGACAACACATCGATCTATCACGTACGACCATAGGATTTAGAAAATTCGGGGTCCCGTCCGCTCCCCCAGAGACAAGCTAGATACCGCCAGATTAGTAGTTGGGTCGGTGACGACCAGCGAATCCCTGGTGTTGTACGTTTTGTTATTTTTTTTTTTCTCCCCGTTTCTTTTTGGCCCTTCTTTTGTCTTCTTGCTGAGCCATGCGCCGTTCTCTGTGTGTCTGCCTCTCTCCTCACGACTATGCAAATCGAGGTTCCCCCATTTTTACGCCAGGAATATCTAGAAGCAGGTCCTCGTAACGGCATGAGTAGCAATAACCGGGCGAATTGTGGTATAGCGTACCTAAGGTATGGTATTTTAACATCAAGCAGTATGTATGACATTGACAAGACGGCGACATGTCCCTTTTCAAGGAGTGGGCGGCTTGGACAACACGTGTGGCGGAGCCTACAGCAATGGATATAGTCCTCCAGGTAGTACTTTGATTTATTACAGGCAGCTTTTAGGGCCTAGAACTCAAGATGTCGCGTGTCGCGATATTCAACAGGCCAAAGGGCTTTTTCGATTGATCCTAAGCAACAGGCACAGCATAATCGATCATCAATGTACATACAAGGCTATGTACAAACAATATTGGTATCCAACAAAACCTTATCACTGTTTATGTATAACTACAGGAATTCGCTCAGGACGGCCACTCTCGTCCTCGCATCGTCCGAGCCTTGCTCGCCGTCGGCCATTATTTTCATGATCTGGACCATACGAGCTGGGAACTGCGTTAGTATTCCGATCTAGGTACATGAGAATATTTGAAATGGGAAGCACTCACTTATATCCGCCTTCGCCCTCGCGAACAGCGGATCCCTCAGGAACTGGTCCGCGGTAGCGGGGTCTCTCCCCGCCTCGCGTAGCACACTCCCGATACACAGCGCCTCCAAGAAAGCCCGATGGTGGAAAACCCACCACACCCGGGCCTCGGCGTCGAAAAGCGTGAATAGCACGAAGAAAGACGTGATTGCTTCGTGCGCAGCCTCCAGCGTCGCCCTGATGTTGACGGGTACGTCGGGGCTCTCGGAGGCGTGCACTAACATGAGGTTGTGGTAGTAATTGCTGCTTAGGAACAGCGTCTGCCGCACGATGCGCTTGTTGCTGCACGCGAGTTGCGCGATGCTCTCCTGGTCCCACGACCGGAACACGTCGGGAAACGAGCGGTACACCGCGCGGAAGTCGGCGACGAGTTTAGATTTCTGCCGTTGGGTCGAGCAGATGGGTACGTCGAGGGAGCGCGGGCTCGAAATGGTTTCCTGGACTAGGTTCGCTAGCATCCAGGACCCTCGGATATATGCTATGTCAGTGGGCGAGTCGCCAAAGCCAGACGCGTCGTCGAGGAAATCCTCCACTTTGACGTCGGTATGTGTGGCGTTGGGAGGCAACGAGAGCAGAACCGTTAGGAATGTATCCTGAACGAGGACGGCTTGCCACAGTTTACGTCGCTGCTGCTTTTCGAATTCGCTTGCATTAGGGGTAACTAATACCGTTTTATTCGCATCAGTCCCTCATACTTTGCTCATATTGTTAACTGCACTCGCCTACCTATATTTGGATCTCGATGTAAGCCCATGGCGTAGGCTTGTCTCACTAAAACACCCAAGTCAGTGATTCTTCCTTTATACAAACACCCCGGCATTTTCGCATCGTGCGAAAACTATTGATTCGGCCTAGGGCTTTGCAAGTTAAATCTTCAAAGGGGCGTTTTGGTTCCGAATAGGGGATAAAGGGGTTAATGGGCGATTCTGGGTTGAACATACGTAATAAGCCTGAAAAGGCCCAGCCGTCCGAGGCATGGTTGTCGTTTATTAGGAAGTAGCCGATTAAAACCATGGCTTGGACAGAGTGTAAAGATGCAGTATTCATATATGAGAACATTCGCAAGGCTTGATTGCCTGCCGAGGCGTAGAATTCGGAGGTTTGTTTACGATCTTTGGGGTTTGTCGTCGACACAAATTGGGTTCCCAGAGCCATCATCACGAAGAGCAGACCTACAAACGCAGCGTCGGTCTTCTCCGAATCTCTGAGTGAACAAAAGTGTTCGTATTCGAGGTAGAAAGTGTGACGATCGATTATTGGGTAGACTGGGTCCACGCATTCATAATACTGGCTTAACAAAATATCGGCTTGCAGCTTCTCCGGCAGGACGCCGATGACCTCTGGAAGCCCTCCTTCGCAAGTCCAGTAATTGGCAAAAGGGTGTTCCGAGCCTATCCCAAAAACATTCGATGCTGTTGGGCGCGATAGAGAAACGTTAGAGAGGAGCCCTGTTGACAGTGCGACGGACCCACGAGAAGCGATCCGACCGTTTAGAATACCTCTGTCTGCTATGTTCGGTATTGTAGGCTTCATGCCATTCATGGTGACCTTCTTTTTCGGTGGCTTCGTCATCCTCCGGCCGTTGGTGGCCGACCGCGATGTCTCCCTGACACCGATTAGTCGCCTTCTGATAGAGTTCTCTCCGTTCTTGAGAACAACTTACTCAAGGAGGTTTGCCACGTGTGCATATTTGCATTCTGTCTGTCGTTTTATACCTAAAGGAAATTTGTAAACAGCTGGTCGAATAAGATATCTGAATAGTAAGTAGTACAAGACTTACAAGCTAAACAATGAGGTCTGCCTCTATCGCACTAAACTCGAAATTCGATGTGTCAGTAGTAGCAGATGTACTATATCACGGTAGTCGAATGAAAATAGAAAGGCATTGTAAATCACGCCGCCTTGTTCCAATTCAATACATGCTGCCGAAGACCTCATAACTTAAAGCGTTATCCGACATTCCCGCTGCCGCTGCTCATGGATCAACAATTTTCAATATGGTATTCGGTTGCTTTTAATATTTCCGGCTCTTCTCTTCCGAGACATAACCAAATAGATCTCAAAATAGAGGGTAGCACTCTTTTGCTTTTTTTTGCTTTTTATTTCTGTAGTGCTACGTAACACTGACTCAAAACTGCGGAAGATTAACGCGTCTAACGCTGGCTAGACATAGAAAAAAGAAAAAGAAAAAAAAAGGTCAAAAATGGATTTCGCAAATTGTGATGAAATAAATGTCTGTTTGGAATTGCGTGCACTTGCCTTCGTCTTTCGCTCAACGCATTCGTGGCATGACAGCGTGGGTTTGTTGCGCTTCTGCTTCTTCTTCACGGGTTCGGCGTACGAAGGCACTGCGGTGACGCTGTCTCCGCTGCCCGTGCCGTCGCCATCCTCGGGTTCAGACTTGGCGCCAAAGAATGGCTGGTTTACCGAATCGGGCGAAGCGTACAGGGTGCTCGCCGAAGTCGGGGTTAATATTGCGATTGGCGACAAAGTTGAAGCGGTGGAATTGGTCGTAGAATTGACAGAAGCCCCAGAACGTCCTCCGCTGCCGTACGACAAATCGGTCGGGAGCTGGGATGACGACATGCGCGTTGCTTTGTGTCTCTCTACCGTATGCAAACCGCCCGGAAGGATTTAATTGAGGCTGAACACTCAACTGCAGGTTGGCGCATCCGGGAATAAGGGCCGATCGACTACTGGACTTGTTTCAATTAGGACAAGGACGGGGGAACGGGGGAAACGGGAAATGGGAATGGATGGATATAAAGAAACAACGAGAGTTGACGATTAAGAGGAGAAGCCAAGACTTTTTTTTTTAAAAGCTGTGTCTCGATGGGTTAAAAAATATATGGGGAATTAAGAGGACCGACTGGGGGAAGAACCAGATCCAATAACGAAGGTATGGGTATGATGGGTACGATAGGTATGAGAGGTGTAAAGGAAGCAGTAAGAGTGTAGAAAAGGTATCATTATTAGATAGATCAGTTGACACAAACCATCCTACATCCCCCTCCCCCAGTTACATGCACATTATGTAGCCTTAACAAAGACAACCCATGTGGTAAAAGTATTGCACAATACATTAACAATACATTATAATACCTACATATAATTACATGTTCTAACCCGCCTACGGTAAGCCGTTACTGCCTGTCTAATTTCAAATGTTACTGACTCACCCAACTGCAACTCTCGACATCACGTCATGACTTTATGGTGTACACGACTGAGATGACATGGGGGACATGGGAGTACGGGAGCATGGGAGCATGGGAGCATGGGAGGAAAGAGTTGGTTGCTGGTATCACTGCAGCGAGTTTATTTTTCGAGTTCCACTCCCCATGTCGGTGAAATTGTATTAGGTAGACTAATCAAAAGTAACTTCTACTTTTCTTGTGGTTCCCCCCCCGCAAGCCGTCCAACTAAGCTCTTTAAGTGCCGTAGCGTCGACAGGGGTCACCCGCGGAGTAGGGAAGAGAGTAGTAGGGATGGGTCTTGGGTGGTCTAGGATGGACCTAGGAATACTTGAAAGATGATGGATGATGGATGATAGATGATGGGCGTGATGGATGACAGTCCGAACAACGGCATGAACCTGCAGGCACGCGCTATGATTCTAAATGCCGAAAACGCGCGCTGACTGATGGAAAAGAGACCGGCTGGCCGGCCGAGTTCCATGTGTCCCAGCTTAGGGCAGCTTCTAGAGCGAACGACTATGACTTGTCAGATTTCTTACTCGTTACCCCCCGGTTAAGTCGGGGAGACT